AAACAGAGAGATCAGCTCCAGTGAAATCAGGGCATGGTTTTAATGAGTAAAACTGTAATCTTAGCTAAGTGAATGCAGTGCAAAACAAAGGAAAAACTAAATTCAAATTTCTTGGCAACATTTTGGCAGCAAAGTTTTTGAAGTGTTATCTGTGCCATACAATCTTGTTTAAAAATCCCTAAGAGCTACAGATGAGAAAATGAGTTGAGGAGGCAGCATGCCAGTGCCAGTGCTTCTCAGGGTTTTTCTGAAGTCCTCAGAGCTTGCAGGGAGATGTTCTCATAATGGTTTTGTTGGCCTGAGATATGTTGGGTGGTAGATACCTTTCTGACCTGCTGCCAGTGAGATTAGCACACATAAAAAAGAGTAATTTGGAAGCTTTTACAGAAACCTGAAGATATGTTTTATTTCAGGTCTTTTTGCATGGTAATTGGTTTATTCCATGCTGAAAAGATTCTCTTTTCAGCATGGAATAAACCAATTACTTGTTCCTTTGCATCCTATGCATGCTGACGCAGCTACCCACCTGAACTTTTTGCACTGTGTTCAGCATAGAAAGTTGGAAGATTGTTTATTAACAAGCCTTGTGGTGCTCTGCCTTTGCTTCCACAGTTTAACTTATTACTGCAGCACATTTATTGGGAATTCCATGCAATTTATTTCCTAAAATGATGAGTTCAATTGAATGCCTGATAATAGAGGCAATAAACCCAAATTGTATTGGCAAAAAAGGGAAATGTTTTTTGTCAATGGCAGTCTTCCATTTTAGACTGCTAATTGTTTTAATTATAATATCCCATATAACTGCAGTGAGTCTATCTCTGATTTGTTTTTTGAGAATTTTGTTCATTACCCATTTACATCAAACAGAATCTCATGCATACCAAAAATGACTTTAGGCCTTAGACCTCAGGCTACCCCATCTACTTTATATTGCAAGCTTTAAAGAGTATTTTCATCAAAACCACAGGCTGAGCCAGAATAACTAGGGTGTTGTTAATCTATAATTAAGTTTTTTTTTCTTAGGGAATGGTTTTTATCATTTAATGAAATGGCATATATATCATATTCTCTGGGGTCTCATACAGATATTTTGTTCAATTTTGAGATTTTTCATGTAACTTTAGCAGATGAGGTAGAGAAATGTGGGATCTGTTCTAAAGGAGAAATTGTACAGAGGGAATTTTTGAAGTGTCCCTCTTTAAGTTCTCATTTAAACCTTCCTTCTAACAAGGTTTCTTTGTTCTTAGCAGATTGCTAAGCATGCTTCTCATAACTCAGTTGAAATGACGTTGGCTGTAAAGCTCAATCTGTTTCCTATTTTGTGAACATCATGTCTGAGTGTTGTTCTTTAAAATAGTTTCAAACCAGCAAGATTACAGCATACGACCACAACATGCCCTTTGAAAAAGGCAATGACTAGTTTGTACTGTTACCATTCTTTTTCATGCATTTACGGTGCTTGAAGGTCATTGCTTGTCAGATTTGCTTGATGACCATCGCAAATCACCTCGTGTCCCTTTAAAATTGGGCGTTACATTTGTCAGGACAGCGAAAGATAAAAGCTACTGCATGTAGAATCATCACTTCAATGAATCTGTGTGAAGACCAGTATGACAGACTATGGAACGATACTAAGAATTTTAAAACACACATGGGTGTTTAGTGTTTTGTTATAGTAACGGTGCAAATACTAAGCTCTAATTCAGCTGCACTCAGATGCTTTCAGTTTTTGTTATGTCCGTCAAATTTAGAAAACGCATACCACATGAGATTCCTGTGTGAACGGTCTTCTAGCATGGCCTCTGTCTTGTGTGTGCACACCAAACTCGCAGCACTTTGGTCAATCCTCAAAACTTATATTTTAGTGAATCTCTTATTAATTTAATGCTTTCTTTTTTTGTTATGTGTGAGTCAAACACACCTACTAATATCTGAATGCACACCATTGTGCCACAGTACACTGCTGGAGAAACAGTAGATTATACATAGAAAGCTTGTATCTCTCAACTGTAGGCCAGATGAGCCAGATATAGTGTAGAAGCCAATTAGAAAGGGTTGAATTATTTGATGAAGCAATCAGGTAATTTGATTTGGTATTTACATTAATATGTCATGTGAAGATGGGTAAGACCTTATTCTGGATGCACAGTTTTCACAGAAAGGCATCTCATGGTCTCATCTCACCCTTCTTTTGGATTATGAGGTTGTTTTCCCTACTCTAAGAGATTTAGACTCACTGATTATTTTTCCTTTTTTTCCCTGTCAATTTACAGCAGCCAGTAACTATTCAACCTGACTCATGGCTATAATCTCACTCAGATATGAAGAAAGCACATTGTACAATGTCAATTTCCAGTAAATCAGGTTTCCCACATACAGTACTGCAGAGAACATTTACAACAAGACAAGACATTTTGCTGTTTGATGATAATGACTTGTTTGACAAGCATTGCTGCTCGATTTTCTATTTATTCATCAGCTCCTGCTGGAATTTACCTGTACTAGTTATTGGATTTTTTATAAGCTGTCATTTAAAAGATAAAAAGGATTTGTTTGCATATGTGTGAGCCTTAACAGAAAGTGAAAATCTGTAAACTTTGCTGACAATCTGAGCAAGAGGAAAACAATAAATATTTGAATATACTGTAAACTAAATATTTGAAGATACTTTGTTAATTACATTATATAAGCTGTAGGTGTGATATTGTGCTTATTCATTTACTGTAAGTTTCAATTGAGGTGATATACACATTAACACATTTCCTAAAACATCATTAACATACTGTAATTGACAATCTCGTTAGCACTTCCTAGCCTTCCTAGATCTTGTCAGATCTCAGAAGCTAAGAATGGTTGGGCCTGGTCAGTACTGGTGTGGAAGACATGCAGAAAAAACAACTATTTGTATGTGGTGCTGGTAAACCAGTAGGAGGTGCTCTGCTCTTTGAATCAGAATTTCCAGTTCAGTGCTTCAGTATCGTAATGGCAGGCACTGTGCTGTAGTAAATGCCATCCTTCAAATGAGATGTTAGAGTGTCTTTACTTGGGCATTAAAGATTCCATGCCACTGTTCTGTTAAATGATTAAAGATTCCATGCCACTGTTCTGTTTGATCATCAAAGATTCCAATGTCTCTGTTTTGTTTGGTCAATGAAATACCCCATGGCATTGTTCAGTTTGGTCAATAAACTGGCTCTGTTCTTCTTGGTCATCATCTGTTAAGATATCTGTCAAAAAGAGGCCATTCGTTTTACTTTCTTTACTTAAACAAAGCACAGCTTAGAACAATTTATTTTTAATAACTTCGAACTCCCAAAAATTGGATTTTCCTGTGTGATGGGAGTGAAGGTTGGTGTGAATTAGACTTCCTATTTTTGCATTTATGTAGTGTGTATTATGTTATACCCTCTCAGGACTTAATCTTAATCTTGCTGGGTGGGTGCTTTTTGACTGACAGCCTCCAGGAAATACCTGGGTTGATTCCTTGATTGTGTCTAGGTTCTTTAAGGATCATAGTCAGATGTAGTTTGCAGTGTTTGAACTACAAATCCTTGTACTTTGCTTCAAACAGTTAAAAAACCTCTTCATGCTGAAATATTGACTTGAAAGCAGTTTTTTTTTCTTTGTGTCTTCATTCTTACTCTGTATCCTGTGCCTTTGCCGGGTCTTGATCCCGTATCTCAAAGTTAATGATCTAATTAAGCCAAACATCTCTTCTCATCTGATTTTTGCTGATTTTTTATGCTTGTTGTTGTTTGTGTGTTTCCTTGTGTATCTGGCCTTGTCTTTCCTTGTTTCTCAATGTATACATCTCCATGTAGCAAACACTAATACAGAGCTGTTGTCAGATTCTCTAATTGGCACTGACAAGGGCAAGCAGATCTGCAGGTCCTATAACAGGTCCTATAAATGCCAGGTGAACAGGAAGGCATGTGTCTGTGATTGTTACATGGTTATAGTATTTTACATTTCTGTTCTATTTTCACCATGAAGGAGTCGGTGTTTGGGTGAAGTTAAAACGTTCTGCTTTCTGGTCCATCTTGCTAACGTGCCAGTCATTCTTAGCTGGTTCGAACCAGGCAACCAGGGCAGTCCTGTCTGTTCAGCGTTATTAGAGCTTTTGGTATTAGTTTTTTTTTTACTGCTTTGTAGGTTAGTAACTAAAACATGTGGCCCTTAAATATTGATATAATGCTTGTAACAAAGCTTCTTTTACCTACAGAAAACTGCCAGATCAGGGAATTGTAAGTCAATTTTTTGCCTTTATACAGTATATGATCCAATTCAGCACAGTCTTCTTGAATTAAATGTGGGACTCTGGGCCAGTGTAGTCTCAGTGGTAATTGTATGGTGAAGAGTGAAATAAGGCCTGTTGAGGTACTGTTTTATTCCTTTCTGTAGAATTATGTTACAGAAACACATATATTATATGCTACCATCACATTTGCTTCTTAGTAATGTAGGTGGATGTTAAAGTGTGACTTATACTATACAGTATTTTATCTTCCTTCATTTGTAAATTATAGAAGTGTCATGTCCTCTTTTCACATCAGATTGGCTCCTGTGTGACATTACAATTCTGCATTGCAAAGAATCTGCAGTCCACTAACTTGCAGTGAAGAACAAGCATTTAGTTTTCCGTCTGGTCTGTGAATTGTTTGGACAATCTTTTTTAAGTGTTTGGGTGAAGATAACACCTTCTGCTGTCTGGAATGTTAAGGATCTCTGCTGTAGATAATTGAAAATAGAATAAAAATGAAAGATGCACAGAATCTGTTTGTAAATTGCTTTCTGATATGCTTGCCACAAACACAAAATCAGCCTGTTTGCATTAGTAGTGTTCACATAATCAGACAGTTCCAGTAATGTGTTTCATACAAAATGACTGTGCGCCTGGTGATTTTGAGCACTCCCTTTAAAACCTTTTGTTTGTGATAAGTCTTTATTAATTCTTGAGATTCAGTGTTTTGTTTTAACATTCCTGCTGTATTTTGCAGGATGCCTGGAAAGATGACAGCCCCTCACTGCTGCTTCAGCTGAAGGAAAAAGATGAACTGATCTCCAGGCTTCGGAATGAGCTGGTAAGAAGTCAGATTCAATACTGAATGAATTTGAAGACAACATATCACTTAGCGTTTGGCTAATTAAAATGTTATCGTGACATGGTGATAAAACCTTGCCATAATCTGAAACATCACAAAACTCAGCACTGATGCTATTCCCAGGAAAGACTTTGTGAGCAAGCAGAATAGAGGATGATCATCTTAACTCAGGCTCTGATTTATTCTGGCATGCAGTTTAAGCAATGAGATGAAGGCAGCTGCTGTCTATACAGTAGACTACACATCCGTGTGGTAGGGTTGGATTGGAGGGTGATGTGGGGGTACCTGCTGTTATCCAGTTACTCATCCAATCCACAATGAAGATGTTGCCAGCATTCCCAGTATATCTCTGCATGATCCTGTCTATAATGTACAATCTTCCCAGGTTTTTCATGGCTTCCTAATTCCATGCATTGTTGAAAACATCCATCTGCATACTCCCTGTTAGAGTCCAACACTTCTCAGTCGCTAACTTAGCGGCCTAGCCAAATGATATAAAACTCATTTTATGAGGGGCTTAATATATCTGTTAAAAACACACCGCAATATCCACTTTCCTGTAATAAATATACTACATCTAATAAAATATAAATATATACACACAAAAAAGGAAACAGACTCAAGTTTTAATGAGGCAATTGTGCCCATTTGAAAACAATCCAATAAGATCTACCAGACACTTATTATCAATCCACAGAAACCTCCATGCTATTGCTCCATCTATCACATAGCACCACAAAACAAACAAAATGGATCTTGTTTGTGCTGTGCCACTCAACTGTTTTGCCTTCTTTCATTATTAATAAGCATCACTGTGATACAAGAGGACTGTAGACTGCTTAATGAGCGTTGGTTACTGGTCTAAAGGCAGAGACAAAAAAGCAAGGAAATCAAGGAGCCCTGGAGGGTTTTTACCTTCTGTGACCCTGTCTCTCCACTTAGCCTTCCAATGTTGGAACGGCCTGCGGTTAATTGAAGACAGTGATGACGTGCTTAAAGGATTAATGAAAATTTCTTAGTCTGAGGTGAACTATCACATTCCACAGTGGTCAGAGACAGCTGAGTGATTCAGTTGGCCTTGTTGTGTTATTGATAGTCAAGACTGTCCCACCCTCCTGTCCCATTTCCATACGGTTAAGTCCGGAATGTTCGGCTCCGGGGCGGAAATCATGGTTGGGATAAGTGGCCTGGCATTGAGGCATCGTGAGTACGGAGCAGCCCCTTCCATGGATATCAGGCAGTCTTCTTTCTAATTTGGAAGCGAAGTTGCGTCTTGCTTATTCCTCATGAATAGGCCCTGTGATACAGTACTTTCAGCTGTCGCTGTTGTCAGAAATTCACATTGTTTAAAAAGACTTGTGGTGTACGTCTGTGTTTTAAAGTTTGTTCTAAATGTGGTATGTTAGAAACAGAAGCCTGTTTATTACTGATGATGTGAAACTGACAATGACTGTTAGGAGTTTCCATAATCTCTTCCCATTTCATGAAAAATGTGTTACTGCAGGATCTTATAAGTGATCACTGACACATACATAGACATTTGTAAGTACAGACACTGTTTTGGTCCTTGACACAACAGTAGCAAACCTTATGGCTGCAAAGGACAAGGATTTTATCTACTTTAGTGTTACAAGAAAACTTGATATTGTAACTGTCGGAATTAATTGCCTGGATTTTAGTGAAAGGCTTATCATAGTCATGAAGCCAGCAGAGTCAGACGGATGTGGTGTGTAGAAGTGACAGTGTCCCTTAAAATGCCACAAGGATTTGGTTTAGATTTCTGCACTGCTCCAGCAGCTCAGAGGGAAATAAAAGCTTGTGAGATATAATCTTTAATATTTTCCTTTGACTTTGCCGGTGTAATTTAGAATATTAGCTCCAGCTGCTATCGCAGAGCTATCCAGTATTACTTTTTATTGAAAGTGTTTGTTGATAATTGAAGGGAACATAAAATGCTTCTACTTTCCTCATGGTGATGTTCTGGTGCTTCGCAAGATGAAATTACACTTGTCGTTTTAAAAGTGTCACAATATACACGTACATAGTTCACATAAGCTGTTATTTTGAAGTTGTAACTTCAGATAACATTCAACGGTGGTGTAAGCTTGTACTTGGTTTAGTACTTCACTCCAAGGTTTCAGACCTCCTGTGCATCTGTTCACAGCTTTTATGAGAAATCCATTATTTAGGCTTAAAAATATAGTTTTATGAGTAAAACATTCTGGAAAAGGGGCAATTGGAATATTTAAACTTATAACAAAGAGATACATTGAGGGTTATTTATAAAGCATTAGTTGTGTGTTGTAAGAATAATTTAGAAATCCTTCTAGTCCATCATTCAGGTCCATTTTGAATTTTTCCAACAAGAAGAAATGCTCCTTCATCTCAATAAACAAGGACACACAATATGATATCCTCATGTGTCCTTTTCTGAAAAAAGGAATGTGTTAGTTTACCTATCACTTACACGTATCGCATAAGAACATAATAATGGTTACAGATGGGAAGCCCACCCTACCTATTTGGTAGTTAATTGATCTAAGGATCTTATCCTTTACTTTCTTGAAAGAAGTCGAGGTATTGTCTTCAACAACATGGCGGGGTTGGCTTATTCCAGACTCCCACAGCCCATCCATATCACAGTTTTATCTCATTTATACTGAGATCAAAAAGACTCTAAGTTTCTAAACATTGAAGGAGATGGTCACTCACTCAAAACTGCCAAGACAAACCTTCTCCTATAGGAGTTTCCTGATGTGCTCTGAGGATAAAAATTAGTAGCTTAGCACTGTAGTTATTACTACCACTCTCACATACAGAACATTTGTAGTCGAGAGCACTTTTGTCTCTTAAGGCTCATGTTTCATAACACAAAGGCTCTTGAGATGTGGATATTATTTAGAGTTTTCTATTCATTATTTTAAAGCAATAATTTGTAGTTTCTTCAGATACATACTCATTTCACCCCACTCTCCAGTGATCTTTTTGAAAATACAACATAAGAAAGGTTTCAAATGAGAGGAAGAATCAGTCTATCGGTCCTATTAGGTAGTTAGTGACTAATTGATCCATGGATCTCATCCAGCTGTTTCTTGAAAGCCTGGGTATCGACACAACCCTTTGGGCAAAGAAATGTCTCCTGTTTGTAGTACTAATGTGCTTCTTGTAGTTTCCACTTGTGTCCTCAAACTATGAGTTATTTTTAATATACTGGCAGGCCACCTGGATTGATAAGAAAAAAATGTCTTTAACACTGCATAACTGTGCAAGGAGTATTCATTTTAAAACTCATACTTAGTTACAGGTTGGAAAAAAACGTGACCGTTGAAGCATGTTTTGTATACAAAGGACCATAAGGAAGGCAAGAAACAAGGGTATTCATTTCATTCTGCTTTACCTGTCCAGTTTTGAAAAACGTTCTTAACTGGTTGTTACTGGGAGCGATACATATTTTCATGGAAATAATTATAAAGATTTAGTGCTCTTTTACAGTACGATTTAATGTACTTCATGCAGTTTTGTCAACTTAATAATTGGCATGGTTGCATGTCAAATGATTTTTTTAAAAAAAGATTAAATTGTTTTAAAAAGTCAACAAGACATTAAAAATATCTTTGGGTAATGCATTTGTAATGCATTTTTAATTTAAGGGAACAAAAGACTGATCTTGTGGCATCATTACTGAATTTTATAGCCAAATATGAGCACTGTGCTGCTAACACTATAGGAGGTTTAGTGCACACTCTATCTAAATCAAATGCCTAGAGCACTGGCTTCTTTTATTTCAGAACAACACTGACGTGAATATTTTCTATTGTGTAGAGGTGCGAGAGGGGAGCTTTAAACGAAAAAGAAGTCAATTTTATGCCGGGATTTCAAATGAAAGAAAAAACACAACATTTCAGCTTGGAGCCTCATCGACTCCATCAGACGGAGTCTTATTCACCCAGAAGAGGCTCCAAAGTCCAGACTTTGTGACTTCTCTTCTTCCTACTTCTCAACCTGCAATTAACCTCGGCTTGTTCCATAATGTCATGTCATCGATGACGTGATTTGATGATCAGAAAGGAATTTGATGTATTTATTTTATTGATGACCATCTGTCTTGGTCACACAAGTGTATTCTGATAACAAAGGGACATCTTTCCTTAGACAATTATAGTGCGTTTATCTGCTACCAACAAAACAATAGTCATTCTGTAGGTCTGTCAGATGGGACGTGTTCACACCATTGTCTGTGATGGATGGAGTGCAGCTTGTCCATCAATTTCAATGGGGCATTGAGTGACCTCTGTGATCTTCTCTATCGTGCGGAAAGTCTTCTGTGTTTCTATTTGTATGGATGACTCTTCTGTCAGCGGCCTTTGGAGGCTTCTTCCATCCTCCATTGGGCAGCCCAGCTGCTCTCCTGGAGAGAATTTTTGCAAACTGAGTCATTGCCATTGCCCAAATAATCCAAAATGAACAAGGAGGTCGGGAAAGGGGAGTGGGAATTTTGATCCTTGGGTCAGACAGTACTCTCATATCCCGCTGTTAACCATAAATCTGTGGATCACACTAGTTAAAAAAAGTAATGTGCAGTATGACTGCACCTAGACTGGCTTCAGTATTTTGACGTGTGTCTTCATAATGCAATCAGAAATCCTCTACAAAACATTTTTGTTCCAAAGTGAATCCTGTTCATTTTACAGGAAAGCTAGGTGAGGGAGTTGGTAATGCCTTTTCTGCAAAGTGTGTTTTGTCCAAAGGTAGGAGCTCCTGTAGTGGTTACTTTCAGGTCTCCTGATGTTTTAGAAACTACTGTGGTTTCTGGGGTGGGCATGTGTCCAATCACGCAGCTTTAATTGGCATTAAGCTGACATTTTAATATACATAATGAGTTTTCAGGAATGAGTACATTACAGCAACCATGTGCCTGCTACCTGCCTCGAGGCCCCGCTGTGAGCAGCGTCTCGAGACTCACTGTGGGCCAACACTTC